ACCACCCTGTCTACCTGTGATGCTACTTTCAAAGAACTATGCTCCTGCACCCCTAGGTTTCTTTCTTCGACAACACTGTCCAGGGCCCTACCATTAACTGTATAAGTCCTACCCTGGTTTGACTTACCAAAATGCAACACTTCGCATTTATCCTAATTAAACTCCATCTGCTATTTCTCAGCCCACTGGCCCATTTGATCAATATCCCATTTTACTCTTAGGTAACCTTCCTCATTATCCACTATACCCACTAATTTTGGTGTCATCCACAAATTTACTAACCATGCCTCCTATATTCTTGTCCAAATCATTTATATAAATGATGAACAACAATGGACCCAGCACCGATCCTTGCGGCACACCACTAGTCACAGGCCTCCAGTCTGAACAACACCCCTCTACCACCACCCTCCAACTCCTACTTTCAAGCCAATTTTTGTATCCAATTGGCTAGATTTCCCTGGATCCCATGTGATCAAACCTTACTAACCAGTTGACCATGCAGAACCTTGTCAAAGACCTTACTAAAGTCCATGTAGACAACCCTTGGCCATTACAAATTCTTTCATCCTTGGGATATCTGAAGAGCTGCTCATCTCTCAAATAACTGTAACTTACCCAGTTCTAACAGTGACAAAAACATTACAGTACACATTTTAAGAGTGCAGACACATGTATATATGTACAAACAAGCAAGAAACTTTATAATGATTTATAATTTACAACATGTGCCACCTATCTGCCCTAAGGTTGATTTTTCATTCTTTGTCTCTCTTTATGTCTGAGTGCAGTCCCAATGCCAAAAGCTGGAATGGAGACAGCCTGCCTTGTAAATGGCCTAAAACAAACACAGAGAATGCTGGAGAAACCCAATGGATCCTGCAGCATTTATGGAGAGACAAGCCAAGGTAATGTTCCAAGTCTTGTATTACTGTTCTTTGGAACTGGGCCTATTGGCCTGGAAGACTTGACCAGTATTTGGAGCTGGAGCGGTCAGGCCTGCTGACAGTATCCTGCTCAGATGCAGGCTCACCCTTCTCAGCTTGGAATTCTGCTGGTTTTGGCATCACAGACGAGATGGAGGTGGAAGGGCTGATCCTGTGTGTGCCTCCTCCTTCTCCTTCTGGCTACCTACTGGCACTACCATTTCTATCTGAGAGAAAGGGGCACATGGAGCAAGATTGAGACCCTTCATCCTCCTCTCACCTTGCCACTGATAATGATCACCAATGGCTGCAGTGATAGAGCACAGGTCCCTGCACTCAGAAACTCAGCAGGTCTGGCAGCATGTGTGGAGAGAGAAACATTTGAATTCAGATCAGAACTGAAGGGGGCTTGAAAATTGTGCTTATGCAGTTGACAAAGGGGAGGAGGAGTAAGTGGAACAGATGATGATGGTGCCCATAGCAAAAGATAAAAAGAGTGATAATAGTGGGGGTAAAGGAGATAAACAGATATAAAACATGCCTATTGTACCTCAGAGATAGTAAGAACTGCCAATGCTGGAGTCAGAGATAACACAGTGTGGAGCTGGAGGAATACAGCAGACTAGGCAGCATCGGAGGAGCAGGAAAGCTGAAGTTTTGGGTCGGGACCCTCATGAAGAACGGTCCCAACCTGAAACATCAGCTTTGCTGCTCCTATTGTACCTTCTCTCTTTGTCTTTTGCTCTGGGCACCCTCACCATCTGTTCCACATACTCCTCCCTCTCTGTCAACAGTTCTGAAGAACAGTCAGACTGAACTTGAAACATAACTGTGTTTCTCTCTCCACAGATGTAGACAGCCTGTTTATGGATGCTGCCAGATGCATATATACAAGAGCCAGCACTGTACTGAAAATGTCAGTGAACTCCTCCATCCAGATGTGAATTGTCTCTGATACGCCTGCCTGTTTTTCCTGTGCCTGTCTGTGTATTTTGATAAAGACATTAATGTTCAACGCTATGGAGTCATCTCCTATCTGAGGCTGAGCCAGTGCCTGGTTTTGGCAGTTCTCTAAGTGCCAGCAGCCTTGGGCATTTCTTCCTCAACCAGCTGTGGATATGTGTCAGTGGTGTGCTCACTGAAGTGTGTTCCTGAGTCTAACCTAGATAGAGAAGCGAATGAGGTGAAAGTCTGTGAGATGGTGGAAGGTGCAGAAGAAAGTCTCGAAAATGCTTCCTCCTCAGAAGTGGAGGTGGAGTCGAGGGACTCCAGTAGGTTCTAGGCAGAAATTCATTGGGTGATGCTCACATCTGCACAAGAGAAGGGAATTAACAGTAATATGGAGAAAAAGCTGTTAGAGGTTAAGAATGAATTGGTGTTGTTGATAATGTGAGAGCAGTGCAGCACAGCACAATGATGTTTACTCGTCAAATGGAAGCCCAAGACAAACGTTCCATATTTGACAGGTGTTCACTTGTAAATCCTCCAACCTGGTCTACTGTATCTGCTGCTCCCGACGTGGCCTCCTCTACATCGGTGAGACCAAACGTAAACTCGGGGACCATTTCGTACAGCATCTGCGCTCTGTAGATGACAAATGACAACACCTTCCAGTCACCAACCATTTTAACTCCCCCTCCCACTCCCTTGGTGACATGTCCATCCTGGGCCTCCTCCAGCACCACAATGATACCACACGCAAACTGGAAGAACAACACCTCATATTCCAGCCTGATGGACTGAACATAGAATTCGCCAGTTTTGCTCTTATTCCCGCCTCCTTGACCTGACACTATCTGTCCATCTTCTTCCCCACCTATCTGACCCACTCTTCCCACTGACTACCCCACCTACATCCACCTACCTTCCTCCAACCCCACCCCTCCTCCCTTCCCCCTCCTCAGTCCTGATGAAGGGTCCAGGCCCAAAACATTGACTGTCCTGCTCCACTGATGCTACCTGACCTGCAGTGTTCCTCCAGCTCCGCACGGTATTGACAATGTTTACTCACCGGTTGCCTATTGTGTTTTCTGCCTCCTTACATGAGAGGTCATGCTATTTCTGGCTAAATCAAACATATTTCCCTTATATGGCATGAGGAGCCCAAAGTCCCACCCACCCCCTTCCTCTGACTCCCACCCACTGGTCTTTGCCCTCATGGCCTAGTTGTGAGATATGTTTTCCTGCAATGAGACAAAAAGTGGGAATGAGCATGGTGGAAGGGGATAGCAGAGCCATTAGTGGTGATGCAGGCGGCAGAAAAAATGATGAAGTACCCCAGGGAGTGGATAGGAAACACAGAGGGATGGAGGAACTTTGGGGGAATGAAGTCAGTGAATGCTGTTGAGTGTAATACTGAGAGTTGTAGTCCGTGAGCCTTGGTGCAGTGGCAGGTTTGAGTGAGTGATCGCCCTAATAGTGTGAGGTGGTACAAAGAAGTTTATGGCACTTATCCTTGCAGAACACAGACAGTTACTGACCTTCTTTCTGTCATGTTGTGCGTTGCATCTCAACTGAGGCGCTGCAGTCCAGGCTGGCTGAGTCTGGTGGCCTAGCCTCCTTTATTAGACAGCAACAAAAACTCACTGTCAGCCTCACCACCATCCCATCACCAGCACCTCCAGATCTCTGTCTGCAAGTTGAAGGGCTAACTTCCCTTTCTGGGTCAATTTCTTCAGGATAATGGTGCACGACCACCGTGTGAATGGCAGTTCCTAGTGGTGAATGCCCAGCAGCAGCGAGTACATCCATCTGACCTGCTGTGTGATTCCACGAGATGGGTGCTGAAGTGTCTGGTTGCTCAGTTAAAGAGATGAAGTGTGGAAGATTATGTGAGAAAAGTGATCATGGGCCATGGAGGACTGAGTACCACAAATCTCACTTGAAAAAGACTTCGCCAAGAAATGGGAAAATTCAGCCCATATTCTTAAAACCAGAGCCAGGCTACGCAGGCAGAAGTTCAGAAAATCTTTCATCCAAAGAGTGGCAGAAGTTTGGAACATCTCTGAGAAAAACAAAAGATGCTGGCTCACTCAATAATTTTTAATCTGAACCCAATAGGTTTTTATTAGCTGAGGTTGTAAGGAATATGAAGCCAGTTGACTTTAATAGACTTAGGATACTGATCAGCCGTCATTATGTTAAATGATGGAATCAGTTTGAGAGGCTGAATGGCTACATGGTGTAGTCAGGGTGGGAGTGTGTTGAGGACTTTCTTGTTGGTCTTGCTAAAATTACAATGCATCATTTCTAGAAGGGAGGATGCAGAATTATTTTGGTTGTCTGTCTCATTTCTGCTGCACCCTTTTAATATATTTGTTCATGGAATTTAGAAATGTGGAAATTATAGCCCACCCCACATGTAGGCCAGCCTGGGTAAGGGTGACAGAACTCCTTTCCTAAAGGGCATTAGTGAACCAGATGGGTTTTTACAATTGACAATAGTTACATGGTCACCATTAGGTTAACTTTCAATTTCAGATTTTTTTCCATCATCTACCGTGTGGGATTCAAACCCATGTCCCCAGAACATTAACCTGCCATTCTGGTTAACTAATCCAGGGACATCACCACAATGCTAATGACTCCTCAAATTTTAAGTATCCTTGAAAAGTGGCGGTTGGGTTTATTGACCTACTTGAAACCTTCTTCAACTGTTAGACAGGTGTAATTTAAATTATTCTTAATCAATTTATTTGCACAGGTCATAGAGTCATACAGCAAAAATACAGATCCTTCAGTCCAACTTGTCTATGCTGACCAAGTTTCCCAAACTAAACAAGTCCCATTTACCTACATTTGGCCCATATTCTTCTAAACCTTTCCTATTCGTGTACCTATCCAAATACCTTTGAGGTAGGTGGGACTTGAACTGGCATTATATGACTCAGAGGTAGGGATACTATCACTGTGTCACAACACCCCTTTGAGTATTTTAAATACTAACGTTAGAATGTAATTATTGATTTGTTCTGTTTTTCTGCTGCTTTAATTAGGCATAGTAATTTTGACCTATTGTTGATTAACTTATGGGAGCCAATAGGACACTTACCCTTGCCCTGTTGGTTCCTCAAAATAATCAGAGTTCTTCCCTGGAGCAGTCTCTCATTTCCTTGATCAGCAAATTCTTCTCAATGTGTGCAGTGTCTCGGGCTGCTCTATAAAAACTCCTGTACGCTCTCTCTTTGGTACTATCGCGTTATTCGGGTGAGTGACTACAGAAAAGGAAGGTGGGTGGGAGAGGTGGGACTGTCCCGGAGAAGCGGGTGACTAAGGCAAAGTTGTCCCGGGGAAGCGGGTGGCGAGGCAGAGGCACCAATGTAAGTTGACATCCGAGATTTACTTCGAAAGTTCGGAAATTTGACGGAGAATAAGTAAGATGTTTCTCTGAAAATGTTTGGTGACTGTCCATCTAGGATCAGGCGCGCAAAGAGCACTTTTTTGTGTGTGTATGGCGAGTTGGAATGAAACAGCTTGAGTAACGACTTTTGATCTGAAATATTCGTTATTAAAACGAATATTTCTTCCTTTTCTTTCTTTCTCTCTTTTTTTTTCTAAAAAAGGGAACTTGAGTTTCGATTTGGCGATGTCAATTAATTGGTAAGGGCTCAGTCATAAAATCAGAACGATTTGTTTTAAACAGCGGGAGAAAATGAGATTTCGCAATTATGTAGAAGATAGACTGGTTCCTGTATTTTCCATTTCGGTTTTAGTCAACTCTAATACTTAAATCTGAGCAACAGAATTTTTTTTCAACATTTAACAAACTTTCCCAACTATGGGTTTCTCACGGACTTGTTTACCCTGAAGGTTATTAATAACAGGCAACACTTCCTTAGTAAGGAGGTTTGGATACGTTGCTGTAGTTCGTTAATTGACTTTCTATGAAGTGCGCCAGATTGGGATCTAAACTCCTTTCAGTTAATGAGCCAAACTGATTATTCCCATTAATTGTAAATGGGACAATTAAAATGTTGGCTGTTTGGTTAACTCGATTAGCAAAGGCACTTGAAGTGTATCAATCTTTAATCAAATCACTTGACTGAGGTCAAGATTCAATCTTGGCACTCGAGTTTAGGAGTGTGCAAATAGCTAGTGTTTTCTTTCAGAACAATAGATCTGTCTAAACTTCTAAACCACTAGACTTTGACCTGAATGAGTTGTGTTCTACCTGTCACGTGTCTTCTCCATTCTACAGTCTTGTCAGTGGATTAATGTGGCATGTGATCAAATGTTTCTCGGACAAACGTGGTGAATAGGTACGAGCTGGGGGGTCCCCCTGCAGTACACGCTCTTCCTTTCTCTCCACCCACCAAAATTTCAAGGTACCTCCTTTGAAACCGGCCCTGGTCTGCAATTGGCCACGAAAAGCTGGATTTAAAGTTGAAACAGTACAATCGAACATTGGTTTCAGAAATCTGCGAATGTTCCTTGCCTGAAGAAATTCACAGATCAGCTCCTGTTCCAAAAGTTTAGTAGGAATGTGTGGATGGATAGTCATCCCCCGCCGACAGTAGGGGCCTCCCCGGTGTTTTCCTTCCTCCCGCCCCAAGATGGGGCAGACTGAGGTTTTCACCCTCTCCGAGCTAAGGTCGCCTCCTCGTGGGACCCCTTTTGGTAAGGGAGTGATTTTGAGGGACCTGTACATGCCTTCTCTTTCTCTCCCTCCCCCACCCCACTAATAATGACTCCCTACTACCGTTATGATTAATTTTGAACCGCCTTCCTCTTCAGGTCTGACTGAGTTCGAAAGATGAACTGGGGACAACTGCATCTGATCCTAGGAGGCGTCAACAGACACTCGACCAGCATCGGGAAAATCTGGCTCTCTGTAATCTTCGTTTTCAGAATCATGATTCTGGTGGTGGCGGCCGAGAGTGTCTGGGGAGATGAGCAGTCCGATTTTGTCTGCAACACTCTGCAGCCCGGCTGCAAGAACGTGTGTTATGACCAATTCTTCCCCATGTCACACATCCGACTCTGGTGCCTGCAAGTGATCTTTATCTCCACCCCTGCCCTCCTGGTGTCACTGCACGTTGCCTACAAACAGCACGAAGAGAAGAAATGCATGGAGAAACGGCAGGGCTTCTTGAAGAAGGAGGAAGTGGATGCCCTGAGGAAGCAGAAAATGCGGATTGTTGGTGCTTTTTGGTGGACCTATGTCACCAGCATCATCTTTCGCATCCTGTTCGAGACGGTTTTCACTTACATGCTGTATTTCCTTTACGGTGGCTTTCAGATGGCCCGGCTGGTGAAGTGTAGCGCCTCCCCCTGTCCCAATACCGTGGACTGTTTCATTTCTAGACCCACCGAGAAGACCGTGTTCATCATCTTCATGACGGTGGTGTCCGGGGTCTGCGGCCTCCTGAATGTGGCCGAGCTGTTCTATTTGTTGGTGAAAGCTTGTGTGAGGCAGTCTCGCCGCAGGCACCACCCGCACCACCTCTCCAGGAGCAGAGAGCACCAACAAAACGAAATGAACGAACTCCTGTCCATTGACGCCAAACAGAAGGTGGCCTTGGAGCTGAACAAAACATCCTGAGTGACCAGGTTGATGGTCAGCTTTTTTTTTTTTTTTGCACCGTGACTTCTCAACCAATTGTATCGTGGTAAACTGACCGATGTCTTCCAGTTGAACATTTCCCCTTCTATTAATTTTCAGCCGACACGACTTTTTTAAAAGAGCAGGAAGTTAGCCCAAACGCACAACTTGCACTAATTAGCCATATTTCGTGATGTTGCGCTCACGATGCTGTCAGAGCTGTTAATGCACCGTTAGTAGTGGACAATGAAACCAGCTGCAGTTCAACTGGATTCCCCCCCCTCGCCTCAGTGGATATCACTGCCAGTGGATTAACCCTAACAAATGCACCTCTACAACTGTTACAGTAGTTTATTGTTGCCACTTACTGTTGTATCCATGAAATGTTCAATATTGTATCAAACGCGCTGCCCAGTGTCAATATTTGTTACGAAGAATTTTTTTTTGCCTGTGGGCACCGGGTGGCGCGCGCTGCTACGAATTCGCGGTTTTCTGTACTTTTTAAAGCAATAAAATCGTTTAATAGTATTGCATCTCGTCGGTGAGGATATTTCTATCCCTAGACAAAACAATTGCAGTTGTCTCTCAGAAGTAATCAACCTTCAGAACATTCTTTCTGAAAACTGAAAGAACTACGGAAGCTGGGAACTACAATAGCTGGAAAAGCTAATCCGGTCTGGCAGCCTCTGTGGAGAGAAAAGCACTTAACGTCCAAGGACCCGAAACGTTAATTGACTTTTATCTCCACAGATGCTGTCAAACCTAGTGAGCTTTTCCAGCTACTTCTCTTTGCTTTTGCATGGTGTCTTGACGACTTCACTCTCAACCAAATTCGGACTTTGTACTCCTCACTGTCCTGATATTACCTCACTTGTACTCTTAGTTGGTTGTTGTATCCCTGTTCACCAAGGATGCTGACTTTTTTAAATTGCAGTAGAAATAACTGATGTTTTCTTTTATTAAATCTTTCTAGAAAGATTAGCTGCCTCATCACCTATGGCCCAGGAAGTTTTTTGGTATCTAGGGTTTTTCTTTTTTTTGTTTTAATGAATGAGACACCCACTGAACTACAGTCTAGTGCTCCTGGAGTTCCAGGATTTTTTGACCCCAATGGCTGAAGGAAGTGTATGGTTCCAAGGTAGCATGGTGTTCCCAATCAATCCCTAGGGCCAGACTTGTACAACTTACACTCAAGGCCCATACTTTAAATGCAAATTATTTCCCACCTGTATAATTCCTCTAGCTAAAAGCTTTCTGAAGATATCTTGTATTTGTGTCCAGTCCATAGTGTGAATACAGATTGGAAAACCTGTTTCAACCTTTTATTGGGGGAAAAAATACACAACCAGACTGGGATGCAAAGGTTTTGCAGGGAATGGATTCCATAAAATAACTGCCATTACTCCCTTCCAGAAGGGTGTTGGTAAATATTGCACTTACCAGGAGCTCAAAATGCCATCCAGGATGTTGTTGGAACTAGAGCCAGAGAATTCAAAGATCAAGAGCCAAGTTACTTGAGCAGCTACTGATCACAGTACCATAGTACTGTTTCAGGTGGACAGTTTTTAGCATTACTAAACACAGGTGTAATGCTTTTGAACATAGCAAGTGAAGTATTTAAAAATGACTAAGTAGCCCCTAATGCAGATAATCAGACTGCTGTAGTCTAACCTGAATGCAACTCCAGGCAAAAGCAGAGGGCAAGCTTCATGTATAAATTCCTACTACTTTTTAAAGTTAGACTCTGGGATCTGTGGTCTGAGTTATGTCCTCTAACCTGTTCCTGCCAGAGTGTGCTGGTTTTCTATTTTTAAAACCAAAAATGCTGTTTAAGTGTAGCAGCTATATAATCTAGATAAGTTTTTCTTCTTGAAGTGGAGATGAAAGGACTCTTAAACCCATGCCTTATTATCAGAACACAATTTGTCTACATGATCATCAATGCATTATGAAATTCAGAGCCTGAACTAGGGTACCTCTTATTCCTGAGGCTAAACTCTGGTCTTATTCAAGATCAGTGCAACCTTTCCTGCACCCTATGCAAATCAAAAAGATGCCATATGTGAACACCCAGGTCCCTCTGCTCCTTCTTGCACTCTAAGTTTTACCCCCGTTTGTCTTTCCTACCACAATTACTCTCTGCATAGAACTTTTTATCTGCTACCTCGATACCAATGTCCTTTCGAGGTTTCTGCACCAAGCTTCTCGCTCTTAGTATTTGGAGCACTCTTTAAAAATCTAAACTTGCACCCTGTAACAAACTTAAATTTCCCTTTTTAACAAAAAATTCAATTCAGTATGAACTAGACTTGAGGCTTAATGTGCTTGTGGATTACTAGCTAGATTTGAAAGCAATGTTTTTGACTTTGCTCTAGTGTTCTCAGTGAGGTTGCAGAAGCAGTATTCAAGATGTTTGTTTCTCGGACTCCACTGACGAGGGAGTAAAGTCTGAAAGATGCTCAATGAGCTGTCTTATTGCCAGTTTCCAACTTGTGACTGGTGATGGTGCAGGCTGCCATCTGCTGGTCAGTAAGTGAAAATTCACTCCTGTCCCTTAAGTGAAGAGCTGCAAATGCATAATGTTATGATCTCATTCTGCCTAGCAACCTTTCGTGGTATTGGTCTGTCACTGTATTTAGAAGTGAAAGAAATTGATCCAATTTCTGAATAAACATAGTTTTGTGGTTGAGTATAAATTCCCCTTTTTTGTGTGAGGTGAGTGGCTGCAGTGGTATAGCAATATCACTGGACTAGTAATCCTGAACTCCAAGCTGCTATTCTGGAAACATAGGTTTGAACCCCATCAAGACATGGTAAAACTTTAATCCTAGACTTCTAAAACTTAATGGTTACTCTGATCCTTTTTTTTTTTTTTCACATCAAGAAACCCCACCTTTGGCCATTAGTCCTTTAAACATTTAACACATTAGTCTCTAGGAGAGCATCTGCGATCATTACCCAATCCAACCTAAATCTGGTTCTAGGCCACTTCAGTCTGTTCAAAGGCAAGTAATGTCTGGAAATAAAATAAAATGCCAGCCTGGTCAGCAATTCCCAAATGCTTCATATAGTCTTCCTAACTTAATGTGTAGATCTAGGTGTATTAACTTAATAATTTGAGGTTATGATTCTACTGATGGTAGTATTGGACCATTCTGATCTAAATGAAACCTGGCCTGATGGCCTTCAGCTAGTTACTGAGGCATTTATGACTTGTTCTTTTTTTTTAAAGAAAAACAACAAATTCTTCTTGCAAAGAACAGACAAGATAGCTGGCAAGATCTGAAACACAGCAAACTGAAATTTCAACCAGTTTACTGACATTTCAGTTCATATACATCGTTCAAGTTGAAACTTTCTCTGGACTGCTTCTAATGCCTGTGTCCACTTCCTTGGTTAAGGGGACCCCAACTGAGTATTACAAATGTAGTCTCACTACGGCCTTGTGTGGTTAGTTTTTCTTTAGTAAGACCTTGCTACTCAAATGCAATTCCATTTGGCCTTTATTTCAATATTCCATCCATCTTCCCTAATACCTGATGAATTTGTGCTTTACAACCCTCCTGGATGAGGACTCCTGCTGTTCTCTTGCTTTCTACATCTCCATTTTAAATAGCATTCATTGTATTCTTACTGCCAAAGTGCATAATCTCCTCTTTTTTTCTCACTTAATCTGCCAAATTTTCATCTATTCACCAACTTAGTCTATCCCATCTAATTTTTTTCAAACTTGTCTAGAGTACTCACATTCTCTTCATTAAAGTCATTAATGTAAATGTTGATCCTCGCATGAATTCCCTCAGGTACTCCACTAGCTACAGGTTGCTATCCTGAAAATGCTCCCTATCTGAGCTCTAATCAACAATCTTCTGTTGATGCTAACATAACTCCCATTCTGACTTTTGTCACTAATTAGCTTAACATGGTGCCTTATCAAACGCTACCTGGAAATCGAAATATTTTACTTGCATTGCTTTTCCTTTTTCCTGTCTTTCCATCCTGTTTCTTACTGCTGCAAGAATAGAAATAAATGAGCTCTGCTTCATTCTCCCCTTGATCATACTGATTCTGCTTGATCATGTAGGTTTCTACATGCTCTGCTATTACATCCTTTTTATAATAAACTAAAAGTCTAAGCTCTTTCCCTCTTTTACTAAAACAAAGGGGTTGTGTAGTTTGGTTTATAATTATTTGGGACTTTTTCCAAATCAAAAGGATCCTTTGAACTCTACTGCCAAAGCATCCACTAGCCTGGTAGCTATTTCCTTTAATAGCCTAGAATGCATCCAGTCATATCTGGAAACTTTTCAAACAAAAACAAAATTGCTGGAAAAGCTCCACAGGTCTGGTAGCATCTGTGAAAATCAGTTAATGTTTCTGGTCTGGTGACCCTCAGAATGGAGGCTTATTGGTCTTTTAGGTCCACTTAGTTTCCCTAACTTTTTCTCTAATAGTTATTGCATTTCTTTCTTTTCGTTTTTGCTCCTTGATAAGTTAGTAATTTTGGTGTGCTATTAGTATCTGCTGATGGAAAGTATTTATGCAACTCTTCTGCCACTTCCTGGTTCCCAATTACTTCCTTTTAGCCTTGTTGTCTGAAGGGCCTATCTGAACTTCGTCTTTTTTTTTAAAACCTAAGTTTACTGTCACTTTACCCTCCCCTTTGTTTTCTCCCTTTTTTTTGGTCCAAAACTTCACTAATCTGGTTTGATGTAGTTTTGTTTTTTTTATTTCTTTCAATTTCTTTCAATTTCAATCCTATTCTTAACTTCACTGGTTACTGTTGACCAGTTCATCCCTTCCTAGAATTTTTCTCACTGGGATGTCTTGAGCTGTGACCTTTTTTAAATATACCATTGATCCTCCCATCAATGCTGCTAAACTTTTTTCCAGCTAGCTCTACCCTTATTACTTTTATAATGGAACCAAATGCTCCAAACACTTGTGATTCTTTCATTTAACTTGTATTTTATACAATGAGTGATTTGATCAGGGTAGTCATTATTGTGCAGTTTAGTTTTACATAGCTCGGTGAGCAGATGGCTAGGGTACTTCTCACAAGGTTACCGAGGCTGATCTTGTAGAACAGAATTCCTACAGTTCTTCTGTATATTGATCAATGAACATCAGGTTTGTAATTGGATAGCAGTGGAGAGCCTACCTCCCTTCATTGCAGGAAGGCAACTTATTGGATTTTCCTCTTTTTTTGGATGGTTAAATTTTTGAACCGAGGGATAGAGTTGATTAAGAGATAGCAAGAACTGCAGATGCTAGTGTAAGAGACAATGCAGTGTGGAGCTAGAGGAACACAGCAGACTAGGCAACATCAAAGGAGCAGGAAAGCTGACATTTCAGGTCGGAACCCTTATTCAGGAAATGGGAAGGGGGGAGGGAGCTGGGAAATAGGGGGTGGGAGATAGAGAGAGAGATTAGGTGAATACAGGTGGGCTTGGTCAGTGGGGTGGGTGGGGTGGATAGGTGGGAGGAGTGGGAATGATAAAGAAGGTTGGACATGGATGAGGCTGAGA